GCTGACAAGAATTGCAGAGGCCTTATTAAGGTTGCTAAGAGCCAGCTAACAATAAGCAGCAACTCATATACGAGCGCCTCAGGAGTGTATGCCACCACCACTGAGCTTGTAGCCAGGGAACAATTACATGGCAACACTCCTGGAATGAACCAGGATCTCCCTGCTAGCATACAACAGTAATTATTTGGAAGGCATTCCACTCATGCTCAAAATGGGGGGTGGAATCCATTAACTCAGCTACGAATGCCTAACCTAGACTATCATGGATACATAGGTGCTGTAACAGTCCTCTAGTACCCATGTATGGGGCAGCAGCCACTGAAACTGATAGGGGGATCTGTTCCCCCATCAATCAGGAAGCAGATGACTGACATTTCCATCTCCTTATTACATGTACAATCTCCGGTGCAAGGGGGAATTGTGACAGGGACCTTGCTTCTGCCTATCATACTAAATATTGCTCATGGTAGGGAGTGGGACTGTCATACAGCTGCTTTCCAAAACATAGGGGAACAGACCCAGACTGCTGCCTGGTAAGTGGAGACGGGGCAGATTGGGCTGGGAGTCACTGTGTAGATACCTAACTATGGTGGTTATGCATTAATAACTGTCCAAGTGAATTCCATCTGGGATGTTTTCATGTGTCTGTTTATCCCAAATGGGGATATAAATAAAAATGTCTTCCAAGAAGCCAAAGATGCTTTATTTGGAAGCAGACCCAATAGTCTTCCTTTGCAGTCTGATCACAAACAAGCCCCATTGAGGTCAATGGGACTTAGAAGAATCATCCTATGTGAATCATCCAAACAAAGGAGAGGGGGACAATTTCAGAAAATTGTTTAGCATCAGAATATTGTGTCAGTTTCCCTGCACCGCTTATTCATGTTATACTCATGGAGGGCACTGAAAAGCAAGGACCAACTTTCTGAAATGTACAAACTATATATATGCTAAAAATAATCTGGATTCTTAATTAAAAACATTCATTTTCCAAAGCTTTGCAAAGCAAACAAAAAACTACAGTTCCCACAGTACCTAAGATTCGCTACCAGTACTATAGTAGTTTGTTATCAGAAGTTTGCACTCAGACAATGCATACTGTTTAAAGTCCTGATGAAGTAGTCTCTTGTGCCATTGCTTTTGAAGATATTTCTAGATATGTGCATATTAGAAAAAATAATAATAAAACACTTGCTCTTTCCTTGTAGAAGGCCCTAGCTACCAAGAAGAAAAGGAGTCTGCTAGGGTAAAGAAGCAACCTTAGGCAGCAGATGCTGGTGTGTGTGGAATGGATAGTGCTGTACCCTGTTCCATGCCCTCCAACATTTCACAGATGAAAAATGGGACATGCGTGGCCAAGTAACATTAGAGTGTGGTCAAGATGGCAAATAGTATCCGTGAGGAAGAACACACAAGCTAGGAAAGACTGAAGCAGTTTTCTCTTGCCTGAGTCTCCAAGGAGGGACAAAATTCTACCCCATTGCTGGGATCCTCTCTCCTTCTCTCCCTCCTGCTGAGTTGACTGATTGCAAACTACTTTACATTCTGAACTCAGTTTGAAATAATTGAAGGAAGCTGGGGGAAAGTGGGAGGAGAAGAGAGAAACTGGGACATTTTAAAAGCAGCAGAAAAAACAAGATGTAAGAGAATTAACAACTATCCCTGCAAAATCAGGGTATGCTGTTCTGCAGCCTCTGCATTTGCTTTCTGCCCTGGAGTGGAGTGAAGGAGGCTGTCCTGCTACCAGAAATGAAATGAGATTCAACAGTCTGGATAGCTTTTGTTCATGGGGATGTGGGAAGGTATCATCATCTTCTTGTTTGCCTCCAACAGCAAAATGCTGTGGCCTCTATTACTGGTGGAGCAACCAATACTTCTTAGTTTCAAGGGACAGGAACCAATGGCTACCAAGGCATGGGGAAAATACGTTTGGAACTATATGAGGGGGTATCGTAAAGTAATAATTATCACCCAGAAGTTATTACAGTATATTGATGAAATTTTGTCAGCGTCATCATTGGTCCTGAGTTCAGGATGTTGACAAAATCAGCTCATTGTGTCCTTTATTTTAGTTACAGGTTGTGCCAGAAATGACTAAAGTGTAAGATGGAGAAGACTAAGGCTCACAAAATGATAAAGTTCCTGCATTTGAAGGATAATAGTGCCCAGCAAATTCATGATGAGATGATGATAGTTTATGGAAACGATTGCCCATCTTATGACACTATTGTGAGGTGGAAAAGGAATTTCCAAACTGGTCACATGTCCCTCACAGATGAACCAAGACCTGGAAGACCATCATTGATGGACGATGCAGCCACAGTGAAGAAAGTGGAGTGTTTAATCCTGGAAGACAGATGAGCAACCATCCAAATGATCATGAATAAAACTGGTCTCAGTTATGGTAGTGTGTGGAAAATTATTCATGACAAGCTGCACACGTCTAAGGTGTCTGCACACTGAGTTCCACATTTGCTAACCCCTTTCCAGAAATAAACATGGTATGACCTATTAAGACAGATGTTGACACTATTGGAACAGGATGAAGAGGATTTTTAGGGTCATCTGCTAACCATGGATGAATCTTGGATCTATCAGTATTAACCCGGGGCCCAAATCATGAGCATGGAGTGGAAGCATGCCAATTCCCCTCCCTACAAAAAGGCAAAGGTGCAAAAGCCAGCAGGGAAGGTCATGCTCTCAGTTCTTTGGGACTGTCATGGAGTCATTCTCACAGATTACCTTGCAAAGGGACAAACCATCACTGGCACATACTACAGCAATCTTCTGGACAAATTGTGAAATGCTCTGAAAAAGAAACACCATGTTATGCTCTCCAGAGGCATTCGTCTCCTAGCTGACAATGCACCAGCTCACTCATCTCAAGTTGCAGTTAACAAAGCAAGGCCATAAGGCTTTGAGATTTTGCAGCATCTGCCTTATTCTCCTGACCTCACACCAAGTGACTTTTTCGTGTTCCCAGAAATGAAAAATCCATTGTGGGGTTGCTGATAGGACAACACAAATGACGTCATTCATGAAGTAGAAGAGTGGTTTAAGGGGCAATCTGCAAACGTCTACATTCATGGTATTCGCAGGGTCAGGAAATGCTGGGGAAAATGTGTAAATCTGTATGGTGACTACATAGAGAAAAGTTGACAACAGCAAATCAAAACAAACTTTCTGTCAATTTTTTTAAAGGTGTAATTAAAACTTTATGATACCCCCTCATAGTTCTCAGAATGCCTCAGCTACTGGCCTAGGGGATTCTGGGGGTAGTAGTTCAAAAAGTCACCAGGTTCCTGCTAATTCTGGCCATGGTCACTATGGTAGGCAAGGGTGTGGCAAGAATAAGTCTAAGTGAAACTGTGTAACTAATATGGTTCCACACTGAAATATCATAACATAACATGTGGATGCAAACTGGCATTCCTTATGTCATAGGTTTTGCTTCCAGCAATAGACACACAGACAAAACCTTTGGGAAGTTTGGTGGTCTGTGTCTAATCTTCACAGTCACTAAGTGGATAGGTAATTTCGGCTCAGCTTTTCAACCCGATCTGTGCACTGGACAGGATTGAGCTTGAAGAGGCCAACCACCACCATTCCTGAGACACACTAAACTGACCGATTTTGAATGATGGTAGCTTTCCGTTCTTCAAAATCAGCCAACCCAGCAGAGCTTGGGGATGGGTGGTGGTTGGCCAGCAGCATCCATGGCGATTTTGTGTGTGATAACACCCGTTTTCTCCCGTTCAGGCCCTATCCTGTCCTGTGCATAGATTGGGCTAAAAAGCATGTGCAATAACCTCCCTAGTTTCCAAGATAGAGCCATGGTCTGTAACATATGTAACATCTCTTTTTAGAATATTTTAACAGCATAGCAGGTTACAAAACAGCATAGGGGATTATCTAAAAATGCAAATGCCTGTTCTAGGGACTTGAGGGTCTTCTTCTATTTCCTCTTTTTTAAGAAAAAAAACTTTTTGGTAAAGAGTAATTTGGAGGAACAGGAGGCAATAGGGTATGTTCTTCACTCTTTCATTATTCTACTATTTCTTCATTTCATATTGTTCCTTCCCTGGGCTCAAAAGGCAACTAAACATGTATTTTCAGCAGAGGGAGTTGAAACTTGTGTGTGGTGTATAGTGGGAAAATAGTGGCAAGAAAAGGATTGTTTACTAACTGCCCTTCCAATTTTTTTCTTTTAAAAGAGAGAAAAGAAGATGAGCTGTCACACTTGCACCTGTGTTATGCTTTTTTGTGTAATATATAGTAAAACCTACAGTATTGAACCCATGGACCTCATAGGTCCTAATGCATTTATTGTAGTTTTAGCTTTTATGGTTACAGCCCCACTTCACAGATGAATAAAGCAGAGAAAGAAGATGCAAACACAGACCAAAGCACCTTTTGAAATCCATTGAGCTGGACCCAGGCTACCACTGAGTGGAGTTCCTCAATGTTTGGGAACTTCCAGCAGCACCTTCCAACAGATTAGAGGGCAGAGGGTGGCTATGCCCTAAGAACATTGTTGTTCTTTCCTCTTGCTCCAAAGGGAAACCCTTAGCTGGATCCTAAGATTCTCAGAAATTGCAAGAATTCATTTTTCAAAATACAGCTGCCAGAATCCCCCAGCCATGATGTTCTTCCATGCTAAAGTTTGTGGAAGCTTTGATCCAGAAGGTAACTTAAAAATTCATCCATTTCCCACCACAAATAGAGTCTTTCTGTTAGTTGAGAAACAAATCTAGCTCAAATCCATAAACATGTTGCTTATTTTTCATCTGTATAAGAAATGGACATAGTTTTTTTCCCCTCCTGCACATTCGATATGGTGGTGGTGATTGTGTGCCTTTAAGTCATTCCTGACTTATGTCAACCCTGAAGTAAACTCATCATGGTGTTTTCTTGGCAAGTTTCTTCAGAGGGAGTTTGCCATTGCCTTCCCCTGAGGCTGAGAGAATGTGACTTGCACAAGGTCACTCAGTGGGTTTCCATGGCCGAGCTGGGAATTGAACCCTGGTCTCCAGAATCCTAGTCCAACGCTCAAACCACTACACCACACTGGGTCCACACATTCAGTATATCCCATGAATAATCTGAATATATCAAAACAGTTTTAGGGGTGAAGGAGGGGGGAAGAATAGAATAAAATATTGCTTTTTTCTTCCTTACAGATTGCTGTGAACTGGAAGGGGTGATAACAATGGCTGTAGGGTGTTTCAGAGACCTCCAGATATATCCCATGATGTCAATTTAGCTGTGCAAGTCATGTACTACTGGGAGAAACCCTATTTTATGCATGTTAAAGTGTCAGATCGAATATTATAATTCTGCTTGTAAAAGACATTCCACAAAGCATTGCACAACTCATAATATGAATTCACGTGGACGTTATTTCCACCAGTTTGACTTGTTGATCTGGAAGCAGCTGGGCAACCCCAATAGGAATAATACCATGAGCAGAATAACACCAATGCTTATAATTTTGCCACTAGCCTAAAGTTGGATATAACCTCAAGAGTGGAATCCAACTGCATGTCAAGAGACAATTGTGCCAGGTAATCAAAACAGATTTATAAAAACTCCCGAATTAGCATTCATGAAACAATTGTTTTTATTCCATATTTGGTTCTTCATTCAGAACAGGCTGTAATGTTCTGCCTGGTTTATTACTCTCCCTACAATGAAACCACACACTCACAATTTCAAAGGACACTATGCTCTCTTTTGTGCAGAAGACAAGATGGGTCTCACATGTCATTACAGTTGTGAATGTCTTGTGTATTTACAACTTTACAACTTTCATCTTTTTTTTGTACATCTTTTTTTGGCAAATGTATCAGCCAAAATATAATATGAGCACCACAATTTTAAAAACAAAAGCAAAGGGGGGGGGGGAGAATGGTAGTAGCTGCTACTACATGAGGATTTATGCCTGAACGACAAAAATATTAAAATCCCAACATACCCGTATTTTCTGGCGTATAAGACGACCTGGCATATAAGACGACCCCCCATTTTTCCAGTCAAAAAATAGAGTTTTAGCACCTCTATCCTCCTTATCCTTATACCCGGCGTATAAGACGACCCCCCACTTTAACCACAGATTTTTCAGGTTAAAAAGTAGTCTTATACGCAGGAAAATAAGGTATTTTTATAAGAACTTTTCTCACAAAATCTATTTAGCAATGTATCTGTGCTAATGAAGGGAAGAATGTGTGTGAGTGTGTGCATGGTAAGTAAAATGTTATTCTGGGTCCTTTGTGTTATGAGTCTGTCCAAGTCTTACAATCCCATATTTTGTTTCTGTCAGCCACTTTAAGGCCCACATTGGGAGAAAGGTCAGATAAAAATCAAATACATACATTTAAAAATAAAAAAATAAAAAATGAGTCACCACTGTAATGGGAGTTAAACCAGTTCACTGTTGCTGGTGACCAGCACCATTGTGAACCAACACCAAGTACAAGAACAGCAACAATATATTCTAATCCTTAATGTAATCCCTAATATTTCTAGTTACAGAAACTCAAGGGTTGCCCTAAAAAGGAATTTGGAGAGATTTTAAGGCCTTTAAAGCCAGAGAAAGTCCAACCCAGTATGGAAATTATTTCAATAAATGACACTCAAAGACACTTTGATATTGATGAGAATTAAAGAAAGTGCTGAAGTGGGCTATTTCACTAGTCAAAGCTGTCTAAAAACCATTTTAAAAAGATTTTTCAGAGGACATACTGACCACTACTACTGCTGAGAACTGCCTGTGTTTATTCCCCAGCCAACATCAAGTGTTCCTTAGCTCTCAGAGAAATAACACCTTTTCAGACATCAGTGATCAGGGTTGAATGTTATATAACTGAAAATGTAATCCTGAAGAAGAGATTTGCTCTCTTAATGTCAAAGGCAGAAGCTCCAGGGGTTCAGATTGAATTAAATTACAGATCTGTATGTGAATAAACAACAAAATAATCAAATGGAGTTTGTTTCAGTGTATTACTGTTACATTTCATACAAATGATTGCTTTATGCACATTCAGAATTCATAGGATGCCATCTTAATATAGTGGCTGGTACAATTTGAAACTAGTATGTTTTGTATCCCTTGGGATTTAAAGTGTGTCTAAGGGCCTTTACAGACTGCCAGAAATAAATGTAGATTGAGGCCACTTTAACTGCCCTGGCTCAGTGCTAGGGAATCATAGGAATTGTATTTTTTTTTTCTGGGACATTGAGTCTTCTCTGTCAGAGAGCTCTGATGCCACAATAAACTACAGTTCCCATGATTTCCTAGCACTGAACCAGGACAGTTAAAGTGGCCTCAAGCTGCATTATTTCTGGAAGTCTGTAAAGGCCCCAAGTGTCCCCTTGCTTCATTTCTTTTTTCATGTACTATATTGTTAATGGGTTTTCCAAAAATACTGATGTTTTGTCTACCTAGAATTTTATAAGAGTTCAGTCCAAAAAGCCTGTGTGTCCGAAGTAATTTTGTGGATGCATTACCTAAGATTACTTTAGTGTTTTAGGGAAAAGGTGCCTGATTACAGAAATTTGAAATTCCCATAGGTTGCCCTTACAAAAGGGATAGGATGTGTATTCAAGCTGCTCCCAACGACAGGTGTTTGTTTGTTTTACTTCTGTGAAAGATTTCACAGTCTGTACATGTTTACTTGGAGAGCCAGCATGGCATAGTGGTCTGAGCATTGAACTATGGTTTTGGAGACGAGGGTTCGAATCCCTGCTCAGCCATGGAAATTGATGGGTGACCTTGGGCAAATCACACTCTCAGCCTCAGAAAAAGGTGAAGGCAAATCCTCTCTTAACAAAATTTCCAAGAAAACCCTGTGATAGATTTGCCTTGGGATTGCCATAAGTTAGAAACAGCTTGAAGGCACACAGCAACAACATGTTAACTCAGAAACAGAGCATGAAGAAGTTGGACCACAACTCTCATAACTCCCCAGTCAGCATGGTCATGGGCATGCTATTGAGGGAATGCTGGGAAATGGAATTCCCCAAATGTAACTTTTCCAATATTGGAAAACTGGAAATGTTGCATTACTTTTATTGCAATAACTCACACTGTCTTACTGATTACTGTCTCATTCTCATAAAGGGAGGGCCTTTCATCTGCTGCTGGGCTGTGGAGGGAGAGAAGAAGAGGCAGCCGTGGCCTCATCATTCTCCAGCCCAGAAGCAGATGAAAGGGCCTCCCCCCATCCCATCTGCTACGGCCCTGGCATCCCATCGGAGAGACCAAGAGGCTGGACTTAAGCCCCTCTCCCACTTCTGTTCCCTTTTCCTTGTGTGTCATGTCTTATTTAGACTAGGAGCCTGAGGGTAGATGCCTGTCTTGTAAGCCTCTCTGAGAGCATTTGTGGCTGAATAGTGGGGTATAAATACTTCAAATGAATAAATTTAAATAAATATTCTTTGTAAGGTAGGTCCAATGACATCATTGTGTTTTCTGCATGGCAAGGGCTTGGACTGGATGGCTCTTGTGGTTTCTTCTAACTCTATGATTCTATGAAACACAATCTTTTCCACCCTTGGTCACATTCTGTTTGTCTGAATATGTGTGTGGCATTGTGTGGTGTGTGTGTGTGTGTGTATTATCATAATGTGATCGATCTCTCAGACTAGTTAAGATGAACTCTCAATGTCTGCAAGCTTACCCCTTCCTTCCTTCCTTCCTTCCTTCCTTCCTTCCTTCCTTCCTTCCTTCCTTCCTTCCTTCCTTCCTCCCTCCCTCCCTCAATACCTACCTACAACAGTTTTCTGTTGTATTTTCAGCAACATTAACCATGATTAATTTCAGTTTGAAACCAAGGCTCATTGTATTTTTACAAACCCTGATCGGAGCTGATCCTGGTCTGTATTTTTACAGGCGTGGTGGTAAATCATTAATAATGCTGACAAAGGAAGAGTAGGTGAATTTCCAAGGAAAAGAGAGGAAAAAAATCTTTATGACTTCATTGTTATCAGACAGATAGATTGTGAATGCCTCATTGTGTCAAAATTAATATTGATATAAGAACTATAACATTAAACTATTTTTGGCCCTCTCTTTCATTTTATCCAAATGTGTTCCAAAGCTAGAGTCAACAAAGGAGACCCAGAATCACACCCAGAAATTCCACTGGGATGCAGGATTTAAAAGTCAAAAATTGGTGTTATCGTACTTATTGTATGCAGCCTGTATCCATCCTGGGCAGCCCATCTGCATTCTGGACCTTTTTCAGGAATGGGAGAATCCCAGCTGCAGCAAAAGTCTGGTTTGCAGACAGGCTGCCTGGGATGGGTACAGGCTTCATACAGCCTGAAGACAGGTAAGCGCGATAACACCCGTGGGATTTCGGGGTGCGATAATCTCTAAAGTCTCACTTTCATGTTATTTGTGTCAGAAGTTTGCTGGTGAAGTACTAGAACATTTTCATTCCCTTTCAAAATCTTGCGCCTCAACAAGATCTTCCTCTAGGCTATGGTAAATGGACAGCATAAATTTTCTGTTTGTTTCTCTCCCTCTCTCTTTCGTCAAACACAAATACACACACATTCATACACACAGACAAATACAAAAGTTTGACCAAGAGTTGGAAGAGGTTATATTTGATGGCCCTGGCCCAACCTTAGAGTGAGACAGTCATCTTAGAGAGCAGATACTAGAAGTTAGAAAATGTCAGTGAAATGTCAGAGGGTATATAGTTTGCCCTGTGTTTGCCTAAAACCCCACCCCTATGCAAAGTAAGACTCTGGCCCATTGCCAGTGGCAAAGAAAATAATGTTCATCCATCACTCTGCTTCAATCCTTTGTCTGGTCAATCACATGTAAATGGAGATGCTATTTTGTTCTTTTCCTGAAGCAGCAAGTTTTCTTGGGAGAAATCTGACTAGACGGGGGTGGATGGGGGTGGAACTTTTCATTCTTGATCTCCTGGAAGTATCCTATATTGCAGAGAACAACTTTTTGGCCCGGTAGGTGTTTTTGGATTATTGCTCCCACAATACCTCACCATTGACCATGTGGGTTGAAGTTAATGAGAGCTGCTCTCCAACAATATGATGACAGCCATAGGTTAAATACCCTTACTATAAAGTGATGATGATTTTATTTATAGTTATTACTTGAATTTGGTTTTCCATGCATTCCAGTTTGGCTACAATACTTTTTTTATCATGATAGCTAGAACTGGAACATGGGCAATTTTGTACAATTCTCAGCTCCTTCATTTGGTTGTTTACATATTTTCCCCTTCTCTTGTTGTTACTGATGCCAATATGTACTTGATAAAACACTTCCAAGAAACCCATCTTGCTGTGAATTACACCAAAGTCTTTTGCTCTGTGTTTTACTACTATACAGATCCCATTTAATCTTGGAAGCTAAGCAAGGCTAGCCCTGCTTAATACTTAAATGGGAGATCGCCAACAGGTGCTGTGGGTAATATTTAAAAGGAAGAAATTGGCAAAACCACCTCCAAGTATTCTTTGCCTAACAAAACTCTATGAATTTCATAAGGTGACCATAAGTCAACATGCAACTTGAAGACATATACACATTTGTTTTGTAAACTTGGCAAAAAAAAAAAAAAATCTGGGTGCAGTCATATGTTAAGTCTCATCAAAAACACCAAACTTAACTTTTTACTACTTTAAGATTAAAGAAAGCAGCTAGATAAGACGGCACCGAGTTATATGTGACAATTTATTAAGAAAATAATATGGAAAAAGGAGATTGTTGAATTAATATAACTACAACAAATACTATACAAAAGTTTGGATCTTTATAAAATAATTATTATCACTTAGAACATGCCAATCATGAGCATCAATTTATAAGAAATTTTATATAATATTTTTTTAATAAAAAATTATAAGAGAGAATATAAAAATGAATGGTAAGCAACACTTTTTTAGAAGAAAAAGGAGGCCAAGTGAGTACAATTGACAACCCAGCATAGATGGAAGGGGAGGAAGTAACACTGTAGAGAGAGGGCTATGAGAGAGGAATGTTCGAGAGAAGATATTGGAATGGAATAAGAGGGAAAATTGAAAGTGTTTGAGGGTATGAGTAAGTGGATTAAGAAGGATGAAGATGTGAAGGTAGAGAGTTTGAGTACTAGAGAGTATCAGAGAGGAATGAAAGGGAAGAAAATGCTGTAAGAGAG